TCTAAGTGTCACATGATCTGTCACATGATCTCAGTATATATACACCTGTTCTGAAAGGCCCCAGAGTCTGCAACACCACTAAGCAAGGGGCACCACCAAGCAAGTGCCACAATGAAGACCAAGGAGCTCTCCAAACAGGTCAGGGACAAAGTTGTGGTGTAGTACAGATCAGGGTTGGGTTATAAAAAAATATCAGAAACTTTGAACATCCCACGGAGCACCATTAAATCCATTATTAAACATTTTAAAAAATATGGCACCACAACAAACCTGCCAAGAGAGGGCCACCCACCAAAACTCACGGACCAGGCAAGGAGGGCATTAATCAGAGAGGCAACAAAGAGACCAAAGATAACCCTGAAGGAGCTGCAAAGCTCCACAGCAGAGATTGGAGTATCTGTCCATAGGACCACTTTAAGCTGTACACTCCACAAAGCTGGGCTTTACTGAAGAGTGGCCAGAAAAAAGCAATTTCTTAAAGAAACAATTAAGCAAACACGTTTGGTGTTCGCCAAAAGGCATGTGGGAGACTCCCCAAACATATGGAAGAAGGTACTCTGGTCAGATGAGACTAAAATTGAGCTTTTTGGCCAAGGAAAATGATATGTCTGGCGCAAACCCAACACCTCTCATCACCCCGAGAACACCATCCCCACAGTGAAGCATGGTGGTGGTAGCATCATGCTGTGGGGATGTTTTTAATCGGCAGGGACTGGAAAACTGGTCAGAATTGAAGGAATGATGGATGGCGCTAAATACAGGGAAAGTCTTGAGGGAAACCTGTTTCAGTCTTCCAGAGATTTGAGACTGGGACGGAGGGTCACCTTCCAGCAGGACAATGACCCTAAGCATACTGCTAAAGCAACACTTGAGTGGTTTAAGGGGAAACATTTAAATGTCTTGGAATGGAATGGAATGGGATGATGGCGCCGGAGAAGATGGCTGCCGTTTTACAGCCCTCTAACCAATTGTACAATTATGTGTGTTTTTTCGCGTTATTTGTCATTTATTCTGTACATAATGCTTCTGCCATCGTCTCTTATAACCAAAAGGAGCTTCTGGATATCAGGACAGCGATTACTCACCTCGTATTGGACGAAGATTTTTTCTTCAACGAGGCGGCCGCGAAGGATACCCTACAGACACCCGACAAGGCCCAAATCCCCGTCATTCGCAGGAGAAAAAGACGGAGATATCCTGGACGTAAGGATCCGACAGCGAGCGAGTAAACTGCCTCTTCCATCAATCCTATTAGCCAATCTTAAATCATTGGAAAATAAATTAGATGACCTACGATTACGCTTATCCTACCAACGGGACATAAAAAACTGTAATATCTTATATTTCACAGAGTCGTGGCTGAACTACGACATCGACAACATACAGCTAGCGGGCTATACGCTACATCGGCAGGATAGAGCGGCTGACTCCGGTAAGACAAGGGGTGGCGGTCTGTGTATATTTGTAAACAACAGCTGGTTCACAAAATCAAATACTAAGGAAGTCTCGAGGTTTTGCTCGCCTGAGATAGAGTACCGTATGATAAGCTGTAGACCACACTATTTACCAAGAGAGTTTTCATCTATATTTTTCATAGCTGTCTATTTACCACCACAAACCAATGCTGGCATTAAGATTGCACTCAATGAGCTGTATAAGGCCATAACTAAACAGGAAAACGCTAATCCAGATTCAGCGCTCCTAGTGGCCGGGGACTTTAATGCAGGGAAACTTAAATCCGTTCTACCTAATTTCTACCAGCATGTTCAATGTGCAACCAGAGGAAAAAAAACTCTAGACCACCTTTACTCCACACACAGAGATGCATACAAAGCTCTCCCTCGCCCTCCATTTGGCAAATCTGACCTTAAATCTATCCTCCTGATTCCTGCTTATAAGCAAAAACTAAAGCAGGAAGCACCAGTGACTCGGTTAATAAAAAAGTGGTCAGATGACGCAGATGCTAAGCTACAGGACTGTTTTGCTAGCACAGACTGGAACATGTTCCGGGATTCTTCAGATAGCATTGGAGTACACCACATCAGTCACTGGCTTCATCAATAAGTGCATCGATGACGTCGTCCCCACAGTGACCGTACGTACATACCCCAACCAGAAGCCATGGATTACAGGCAACATCCGCACTGAGCTAAAGGGTAGAGCTGCCGCTTTCAAGGAGCGGGACTCTACTCCGGACGCTTATAAGAAATCCCGCTATGCCCTCCGACAAACAATCAAACAGGCAAAGAGTCAATACAGGACTAAGATTGAATCGTACTACACCGGCTCTGACACTCGTCGGATGTGGCAGGGCTTGAAAACTATTACAGACTACAAAGGAAAGCACAGCTGCAAGCTGCCCAGTGACACAAGCCTACCAGACGAGCTAAACCACTTCTATGCTCGCTTCGAGGCAAGCAACACTGAAGCATGCATGAGAGCACCAGCTGTTCCGGATGACTATGTGATCACGCTCTCCGTAGCCGATGTGAGAAAGACTTTTAAGCAGGTCAACATTCACAAGGCCGCAGGGCCAGACGGATTACCAGGACGTGTACTCCGAGCATGTGCTGACCAACTGGCAAGTGTCTTCACCGACATTTTCAACATGTCCCTGACTGAGTCTGTAATACCAACATGTTTTAAGCAGACCACCATAGTCCCCGTGCCCAAGGACACTAAGATAACCTGCCTAAATGACTACCGACCCGTAACACTGACGTCTGTAGCCATGAAGTGCTTTGAAAGGCTGGTCATGGCTCACATCAACACCATTATCCCAGAAACCCTAGACCCACTCCAATTTTCATACCGCCCCAACAGATCCACAGATGATGCAATCTCTATTGCACTCCACACTGCCCTTTCCCACCTGGACAAGAGGAACACCTACGTGAGAACGCTGTTCATTGACTACAGCTCAGCATTCAACACCATAGTGCCCTCAAAGGTCATCACTAAGCTAAGGATCCTGGGACTAAACACCTCCCTCTGCAACTGGATCCTGGACTTCCTGACGGGCCGCCCCCAGGTGGTAAGGGTAGGTAACAACACATCTGCCATGCTGATCCTCAACACGGGGGCCCCTCAGGGGTGTTTGCTCAGTCCCCTCCTGTACTCCCTGTTCACCCATGACTGCATGGCCAGGCACGACTCCAACTCCATCATTAAGTTTGCCGACGACACAACAGTGGTAGGCCTGATCACCGACAACGATGAGACAGCCTATAGGGAGGAGGTCAGAGACCTGGCCGTGTGGTGCCAGGATAACCACCTCTCCCTCAACGTGACCAAGACAAAGGAGATGATTGTGGACTACAGGATAAAAAAGAGGACTGAGCACGCCCCCATTCTCATCGATGGGGCTGTAGTGGAACAGGTTGAGAGCTTCAAGTTCCTTGGTGTGCACATCACCAACCGCTATCATGGTCCAAACACACCAAGACAGTCGTGAAGAGGGCACGACAAAGCCTATTCCCCCTCAGGAGAGTGAGAAGATTTGGCATGGGTCCTCAGATCCTCAAAAAGTTCTACAGCTGCACCATCGAGAGCATCCTGACTGGTTGCATCACCGGCTGGTATGGCAACTGCTCGGCCTCCGACTGCAAGGCAGTACAGCGGGTAGTGCGTTCGGCCCAGTACATCACTGGGGCCAAGCTTCCTGCCATCCAGGACCTCTATACCAGGCAGTGTCAGAGGAAGGCCCACAAAATTGTCAAAGACTCCAGCCACACTAGTCATAGACTGTTCTCTCTGCTACCGCACGGCAAGCGGTGCCGGAGCGCCAAGTCTAGGTCCAAAAGGCTTCTCAACAGCTTCTACCCCCAAGCCATAAGACTCCTGAACAGCTAATCATGGCTACCCGGACAATTTGCACTGCCCCCCCACCCCATCTTTTTACGCTGCTGCTACTCTGTTAATTATTTATGCATAGTCACTTTAACTCTACCCACATGTACATATTAATACCTCAACTACCTCAACTAGCCGGTGCCCCCGCACATTGACTCTGCACCGGTACCCCCCTGTATATAGCCTCCCTACTGTTATTTTATTTTACTTCTGCTCATTTTTTCTCAACACTTTTTTGTTGTTGTTTTATTTTACTTTTTTATTAAGAAATAAATGCATTGTTGGTTAAGGGCTGTAAGTAAGCATTTCACGGTAATGTCTACACCTGTCGTATTCGGCGCATGTGGCAAATAAAATTAGGTTTGATTTGATTTGATTTGAATGGCCTAGTCAAAGCCCAGACCTCAATCCAATTGAGAATCTGTGGTATGACTTAAAGATTGCTGTACACCAGCGGAACCCATCCAACTTGAAGGAGCTGGAGCAGTTTTCTCTTGAAGAATGGGCAGAAATCCCAGTGGCTAGATGTGCCAAGCTTATAGAGACATACCCCAAGAGACTTGCAGCTGTAATTGCTGCAAAAGGTGGCTCTACAAAGTATTGACTTTGGGGGGGTGAATAGTTATGCACGCTCAAGTTTTCTGTGTTTTTGTCTTATTTCTTGTTTGTTTCACAATAAAAATTATTTTTCATCTTCAAAGTAGTAGGCATGTTGTGTAAATCAAATGATACAACCCCCCCAAAAAATCCATTTTATTTCCAGGTTGTAAGGCAACAAAATAGGAAAAATGACAAGGGGGTGAATACTTTCGCAAGCCACTGTAAACTTGGCGATATAAAACAGAGGTGTTAATTTGCCTAGAGATTACAGTAATCACTATCCCACTGACTGGTGGACTAGAAGAGCATGGGTGAATAAAAGCAACTCATAGGTGCGCTTCTCATGTTCACTTATCAGTAGGCTTTATAGGCAATCAGCTCGTCTATAAAGGCAAATTGATTTCTAACTGTCAAATTTAGCAGGAGACAAATTACCTCCCCCATCACCTTACATTGTGACTCATTATCTTACAACTTCTCTCCCGTTTCTGTCTCCCTCCCTCTATTTTCTTCCTCTCCCTCTCTCTCGCTCTCTCGCTCTCTCTCAGGTGACGTCCCAGCGGATGCAGGGGGTGTTGCTGCTGGTCTTTGCTAAGTACTACCACCTCCCCTTCCTCCGAGGGGTGCAGACAGAGACCACCCGCACCGGCCTGGGGGGCTACTGGGTGAGAAACCTGCCAGCTGAGACTACATCCTACAGAGAACCACACAAAACTGTCCACACTGACTAGTGATGGGGGGAAAAAATAGCTAGTTACATATCGCAATATCATTTTGGGATGATATTATATCGATATTTGACCAATTTTATCATGTTCTCTCTTGTCTCTCTGCAGCAGACATATAGTGAGCAATATGTTTTGAACATCAAATTGCAATAAAATCACAGTATCGAATCGCAATACATATAGAATCATGAGAATCGCAATACAGTTGAAGTCGGAAGTTTACATACACCTTAGCCAAATACATTTAAACTCAGTTTTTCATAATTCCTGACATTTAATCCTAGTAAAAATGCCCTGTTTTAGGTCAGTTAGGATTACTACTTTATTTTAAGAATGTGAAATGTCAGAATAATAGTAGAGAGAATTATTTATTTCAGCTTTTATTTATTTCATCACATTCCCAGTGGGTCAGAAGTTTACATACACTCAATTAGTATTTGGTAGCATTGCCTTTAAATTGTTTAACTTGGGTCAAAGGTTTCGGGTAGCCTTCCACAAGCTTCCCACAATAAGTTGGGTGAATTTTGGCCCATTCTTCCTGACAGAGCTGGTGTAACTGAGTCAGGTTTGTAGGCCTCCTTGCTCGCACACGCTTTTTCAGTTCTGCCCACAAACTTTCCTTAGGATTGAGGTCAGGGCTTTGTGATGGCCACTCCAATAACTTGACTTTGTTGTCCTTAAGCCATTTTGCCACAACTTTGGAAGTATGCTTGGGGTCATTGTCCATTTGGAACGCCTATTTGCGACCAAGCTTTAACTTCCTGACTGATGTCTTGAGATGTTGCTTCAATATATCCACATAATTTTCCTTCCTCATGATGCCATCTATTTTGTGAAGTGCATCAGTCCCTCCTGCAGCAAAGCACCCCCACAGCATGATGCTGCCACCCTCGTGCTTCACGGTTGGGATGGTGTTCTTCGGCTTGCAAGCGTTCCCCTTTATCCTCCAAACATAATGATGGTCATTAGGCCAAACAGTTCTATTTTTGTTTAATCAGACCGGAGGACATTTCTCCAAAAAGTACGATCTTTGTTCCCATGTGCAGTTGCAAACCATAGTCTGACTTTTTTATGGCAGTTTTGGAGCAGTGGCTTCTTCCTTGCTGAGCGGCCTTTCAGGTTATGTCGATATAGGACTCATTTTACTGTGGATATAGATACTTTTGTACCTGTTTCCTCCAGTATCTTCACAAGGTCCTTTGCTGTTGTTCTGGGATTGATTTGCACTTTTCGCACCAAAGTATGTTCATCTCTAGGAGACAGAACGCTTCTCCTTCCTGAGCGGTATGATGGCTGCGTGGTCCCATGGTGTTTATACTTCCGTACTATTGTTTGTACAGATGAACGTGGTACCTTCAGGCGTTTGGAAATTGCTCCCAAGGTTGAATCAGACTTGTGGAGGTCTACAATTTGTTTTCTGAGGTCTTGGCTGATTTCTTTTGATTTTCCCATGATGTCAAGCAAAGAGGCACTGAGTTTGAAAGTAGGGCTTGAAATACATCCACAGGTACACCCCCAATTGACTCAAATGATGTCAATTAGCCTATCAGAAGCTTCTAAAGCCATGACATCATTTTCTGGAATTTTCCAAGCTGTTTAAAGGCACAGTCAACTTAGTGTATGTAAACTTCTGACCCACTGGAATTGTGATACAGGGAATTATAAGTGAAATAATCTGTCTGTAAACAATTGTTTTAAAAATTACTTGTGTCATGCACAAAGTAGATGTCCTAACCGACTTGCCAAAACTATAGGTGACAAGCAATTTGTTAACAAGAAATTTGTGGAGTGGTTGAAAAACGAGTTTTAATGACTCCAACCTAAGTGTATGTAAACTTCCGACTTCAACTGTATGCACGCACCACCTTTCCGTTATTTATTTGTACAATTTTTTGAAACAAGTTATTTCTTTAATTTCACTTCACCAATTTGGATTATTTTGTGTATATCCATTACATGAAATCCAAATGAAAATCCATTTACATTACATGTTGTAATGCAACAAAATAGGAATAATGCTAAGGGGGGTGAATACTTTTGCAAGGCACTGTAGGCCGACTCATAGCCAGAGAGAGCCAGGAAAAAGGCTGACTCATAGCCACAAAGTAGATGTCCTAACCGACTTGCCAAAACCATAGTTTGTTAACAAGAAATGTGTGGAGTGGTTGAAAAACAAGTTTTAATGACTCCAACCTAAGTGTGTGTAAACTTCCGACTTCAACTGTACATATCGTATCGGCACCTAAGTATTGTGATAATATCGTATCGTGAGGTCCCTGGCAATTCCCATCCCTAACACTGACTTATCCTAATGACCAACTGACAGAGAACCAGACCGACCACATTAATGAAGACAGCCCCAACACTCTAGGCTAAGATATAGAAGTGGGAATGTCAGCACTATTGAACTGAAGTGCACAATCAGAACTGACCCACCCTTAGAGCTAGAATCTTTAATTACATTTTACATTTACATTTTAGTAATTTAGCAGATGCTTTTATCCAGAGCGACTTACAGTAATGAGTGCATTAATTTTTTGTACAAAATGTTTTTATTGAAACAATAAAAAGGAGGCACCCCACCTCTTTGGTAAAAAGCTGAGGGATAAGTCTGGAGAAATTTTACCACTCTCAAATTCATAGACAGAGCTATGGATGCAATGGCTGACCATCCATAATATTACAATTTATAGTTTTAACCATATTTTGATATTTTTTGCAGCACTTGTTTACATTTACAGTACATTGTTTACAAACATTGGAGTAAAACAAGCATATATTTTGGGTTCTGATGGGGTACGACAGTTGAACTAAGCTCATGAGGCATTTATGTTATATTCTTCAAGACTCAATTGGTATATATCATTCATTTATATGTCAAAAAATGGATCTAGCAACTTCTAGCTTTAAAAAGCCTTCCCACAACAAGTCAGTCTAAGGACAGCCAGACAGTGCTAAGGATGAAAAACGACCTCCCCTCCAGGGTTGCTTCTGTTGGCCTCTCTGTTTCCCTTACTTCTCATTATTTAGCAGGAAGGGTTATGTTTGGGCAGGCTGTACCCAAAGCTTGTCTGGAAGTATGTGCTGCCTCCATACCTCTGAAGGTGGAGAGAATGTCTTTATGGTTCACAGCATTAAAGGTAGACTCAGCGATATGACATAGATGCAGAAAGTAAACCGCATATTGGGTCTATTTCCACAACAACTAAGAGCGTTGATGCGCGAGGCTCATCTTCTCTGCTGTTTTGGTGACCTGGCTTCCACGCCGTGAACAACGTGAAGCGAACCCGTGCACATGTTTGGAAGCGAAGTCAGTGTGACTGTGAAAGCGAAGTCTTGCATCTCACTCATCTCAATATCTATGGTGCTGCTTGTGGCGTCATTTCGCTGAGTCTACCTTTAAAGGCATACTTCAGGATTTTGGCAATGAAACCCTTTATTTACTTCCCCAGAGTCAGATGAACTCATAGATGCCATTTGCCATTTCTCTGCATCCAGTATGAAGGAAGTTAGAGGTAGTTTCGTGAGCCAATGCTAACTAGCATGCTAGCTGTTACGATACACTTCCTCATTGCGCTAGTTACCATAGGCTTCCAGTCATTGCGCTAATGCTAGTAAGCAATTGCGCTAATGCTAGTTAGCAACTTCCTTCAAACTGCAGACAGAGACATAAAAATGGTATCCACAAGTTCATCTGACTCTGGGGAAGTAGATAAAGGGCTTCTTTGCCACAATCCCAAAGTATCCCTTTAAACACTCCCCAGATAATTTCTTTAGATATGTAAATGACTCCTTTTTTATATATATGCTCTTTTATCTGAACTTAAAATAATCAATTTCCTATGATGTACCCTTTAAGGGTAATGAAAGCCCATGCAGTTGATCAAAGTGTGCAGAGGGTGTCAGTCTGCCTGTTTTCCTGAGGGATGCATAAAGGTCCATGTAGTAATTCACTGTGAAGTCTTTCTATTGCCTCTCTGTATGACCTCAGATAAGCATCAGCACATTCTGCAGTTCTCCCTCTGCTTTGTCATCTCTTGTATTTTAGTAGGTCAGAGCTGTAGAGGGAGAGCAGCAGGAGGAACCACACGGCTCCATCCTGCCTTCACTCACATAGAGCACGTTAAATATTGATAATGTTCTTCACTGGTCATTCATGTATCCGCAAACTTCCTGCCCTCAGATAGGTTTCCGCACTGGGGGCGTGTCTCATAGGCTAGGCTACTATTCGTACCATTTGTTCTCTCAGTTTGCAAATTGAATGTTTTATCCCATCATACTAATCCTGCCATTCTTCTGCTCCTGTCCCCAATCTTCAACCTTATTCTGTTCCTCTATTTTTCTCTCACTACCCCTTCCTTTATTCTCTCACTCCCTCTCCTTTCTCCGTTCCTGTTCTAGGGTAATAAAGGGGGTGTGAGTGCGCGCATGTCTGTGTTTGGTCACACCATCTGTTTCTTGAACTGCCACCTGCCGGCCCACATGGAGAACTCGGAGCAGCGCATGGAAGACTTTGAAAGCATCCTGCAGCAGCAGCAGTTTGAAGGCCAGGCTGCCACAGGGGTGCTCGACCACGAGTTAGTCACTATATATATGAACGCACACACTCACTTAAGTTTGCACCCAGGCACTTGCACAAATAAACAACAGTGTAGCTGCTGATCTGACTTTTTTCGGACCTTTTTTAAATTTTCATTTTGGACCTGCTAAAGGTCCCGAAACTTCTGGTCATGTGTGAGATTCTCTATGTAGATGTTTTATGTAGCTGCTGCTCACTCTGTGACGAGGTGTGAAAGGAGGAGTCAGGCGCAGGAGGTAAAATACCGAAGTCCAGAGTTTCAACCGTTTGCATAAATCAAACGCTCCAAGCGTCAAACGAAACTGTACAAGGGAAAACATCCACCTTGGCAATAACACAGTGAAATGTAGCTACACGCTCTCACAACAAACAATCACTCACAAAGACAAGGGGAACAGAGGGAACACTTATACACATACTAATTAGGGGAATGAGCACCAGGTGTGTGTGATTGACAAGACATGACAAGTGGAGTGATGAGAATGGGATCGGCAGTAACTAGTACTCCGGTGACGACGAACACCGAAGCCTGCCCGAACCAGCAGTGGGGGCAGCCTTGGCAGAAGTCGTGACACACTCTGCTACCGCTTCCCCCTCCTTCCTCCCTGCGGCGATGATCGGACGTCTTTGTCTTGTGTAGCCTAGTCTACAAACTCTGGCGTGTTGTACAATAAACATTACTGACATGTTGTACAATAGACATTACCAACGTGTTGTACAATAGACATTACCAACGTGTTGTACAATAGACATTACCAACGTGTTGTACAATAGACATTACCAACGTGTTGTACAATAGACATTACCGACGTGTTGTACAACAAACTACTGTCTGTTGTAACAGTAGGCTATTGCTAACATAAGCACAACACAAACAGGCAGTCTAAATAGCGATTGCATTTTATTTTTTCATCGACATTGCAATCATAAGAAAGCATACGGTCCACCCTCCCTTGTATCCAATAAAGATATAGAGGGTGTAGTTACGGTTACACTAAAAGGAGTATCTCATTTAGCCATCAATATACCTAACCAAAAGCAAATATTTTGTGTGATTTAGAGAACATACCTTATTGTTAAAGGCATCTTTACAGTTCCGCTCTCAGTCCACTATTCTCCTCCTCCACAGTGTGGTGTTCTGGTTTGGAGATCTGAATTTCCGCATTGATGAACTGGAAATTCCGGCAGTGAAAGCAGCCATTGATAACAACAAACTCACCATGCTGTGGGAGAAAGACCAGGTGAGATGCATGTTCAAGATGAAGGCCCACTATGAAGTCTTAAACAGAGAGTGTAATGTGTAGAGGATGCCACTAGAAGGCATTCAGAGACCAAAATAAAAGAGACACTTCATTTAAACCTTATTCACTGTTATCCCCCATTCTACAGCTGAACATGGCCAAAGACAGCGAGTCGGTGCTGGGGGGATTTCTGGAGGGGCCTCTCAAATTCCCCCCCACTTACAAGTTTGACGTGGGGACAGATACATACGATACAAGGTTTGTGGTGACATGGGGGTCCACCTTTCACCTCTTTGACGTAAAGATCAAATGAGATGAGTGTTCTGATCATCACAGTTCTTAACCCACCTGCTCTCTCTTTCTATCTCTCTCAGTGGGAAGAAGCGTAAGCCTGCGTGGACAGACAGGATCCTGTGGCGTCTCAGGGCCACAGCTCCCTCTGGGCCGGCCCCTAATGCTGGTAAGAGAGGCTCTATTTTAGGGCTGAGCAGCGGAATCAAGGTCACCCAGCACTTCTACCGCAGTCACATGGAGTACATGGTCAGCGACCACAAGCCTGTCTCCTCCATATTCACCCTCCAGGTGAGACACAGCCCCTCTCTCTCTCTCTCTCTCCCCCCCATGTCCCACTTGTCAACTGAGTTGTGACATGCACATAACTTTACCCAAAACGCCCCTGTAACCTGTAATAAACAGATTTCTACAGACTGTATGTTGATGCTGTATTATATTGGAGAGAGATGTTGATGTTTTGTTCTATTGATTATCTACCGTGATGATATTGACCTCCAGAATGCTGTGTGTAGTTCCCCTATAAGGTGGACAACGCCCTGGTGACGATCATGGTGGAGGATGAGTGGAACAGCATTGCAGATGCCACGTGCACATTCAAGGCTGCGCCTAATTTCGCTCGTAGCTCCTGGGACTGGATTGGGCTGTACAAGGTTCTCACTCTCAACCTTCTAGTGTGGATTTCAATTATTAACAAAGCTTGAAGTAACCCAGATAATGTGTCATGATAAAGTAATAATTAGCTAAGACATTAAGAGTTTTTGTAAAATCAGGAATTGGTGTTGCCTTTGCCTCCCCAGGTGGGATTCAAACACCATAAGGACTATGTAGGCTATGTGTGGGCCAAGCAGGAGGAGGCTGATTACCATAGAGTAGAACACGAGGTAAGGGCGACTTTTAATAACACACATAAATGAACTGTAGAACCCTGTCATGGTACTGTATCTTTATGTGTTTTGACTCTTCTCTCCCTCTTTTTCTGTCTTTACCTCTGCAGGTGACCTTTACTGTGGAAGAGTTGCCCAAGGGCTCAGGAGACTTCATCTTGTGTTACTATAGCAACAACATGAGCACCCTCGTGGGTGTGACAGAGCCTTTTCAGGTACTTACAATGATGCTGTCTGGTTTTTATGGTAAATATATAAAACATTGAAGTATAATGGGATTGGTCATTTAACTCTACATTGGTTATTCCACACCCATCCCCACTCCTTCATTTTGATCTTCACCCTTTCCTGTGCTACTTCCCTATGCTCTTCTTTTCCTTGATCCTTCTCTCTTCCTTCTCTATCTCTTCCTCCTCTCCTTCATCTCTCCTCTACAGATCCAGCTGCCCACATCCAGCCCCGCCGGTAGCCCCTCTGACGACAGCTCTGATTTCACCTCTGAGGATGACAGCACCGTGGTTGGTATGAAGACCATGTCCCGCAGTCCCAGCCCCCGGAAAAAGAAGCACAGAGCCCGACGCAGCCATAGCCGCAGTCCCAGCCACAGCCGTAGCCGCAGTGGCAGCCCTGCGCTGCCCGAAATGAAGGGCCTCAAGCTGCAGCTTGGCTCGGCCCACAACACCACAGATGGGGTGAAGGAGAAGGCCTCAGCTGAGGCTGGGGATAGAGGGTTGTGATGGAGCCCCTGTTATCCAGCTCTCACATGACCAACTCTGTGTGGTTTCTTTATACATGATGCACTGTACTGTATTGTATGTTTCCTTTATTGAAAATGTACATTTTCGGGTGCCATTTGTTTCAGGACTGGGGTTAGGCTTCTGGTACAGGAAGACTACTTTGTCTTGTGTGATTTTTCATAAACTGTTTTCAAATGTATATCTCCCAGTAGATTCTCTCATTCCTCTCACACTCTCTCTCTCACTCTGTCACTCTTCCCTCTCAGGCGTAGAAAATACAGGGAGCTTTTGGCTGATTTTAAGAGATCCTTACATGGCAAATCATTTCCAAATCTCAGGCAGAGGGAATTGGCCACCAAATTCATTTTGGGTCCATATCGCCAGTTGTTTCACAGATATTTTGAAGCAGCATAATATTTAGCCCTCGTTATCAGCCCTGGTGGCTTAGTCAGCAGGGTAGCATGTGTGTGAGCATGAGCCAATGCTGTCTTTTGATGAGGTGAACGATTAGTTTGACTCCCAAAGGGAACATTCCTCGCAAATAGTAATAACCCGGCCCACAAGTGGTTTTTCATTTGAGTTTTGGGTCAAAAAAGACTGTAGAATTTCAAGGAATTCAGCAACAAATGACTTTAATTTAGTAAATCTGTTCCAAAGTATTCCCACGAATAAAAGAGACATGTGGTTGGGTTTCAATGTAATCAAGGTATGAAATTAATGTTATTTTCAAATACAATTAATTTTTGGGCTTAGTTGTGGTTAGTTTGCAGTGTACTAATTATTATAATTATGCTCCCGACCATCCGATCCGACAAAAATCAGCCCGCGGCTGAATCAAGTTGCCTACCCCTGCCTTAGGAATTGGGCCAAGGAGATGAAAATAGAGAAATGTGATTCCAATAGCATCCTTTGTGTTAGACAGAGTTCTAAATGCTAGGTGTAGTATATGGGTACCTGCCCTTCTTCATAGACTCTTGTGAGTTGTGAGCTCACCTCTGAGCGGCAGGTCTTTGTAAAACTATCCTAAGGCTTGACTGCATGGGTCACTTAAATGCCATGATGAAAAAATAAGGTAAAACATTTTCACCTTCAGGGTACTGGTGTTTCCAGTTCTCTTATTTTCTTCTCTGCTCTTCACCTCTCTTTTTTCCTCTTTCTCTCTCGCTCTCGTGTCCCCTCTCTCCCTTTTTCTCTATTGGTGATGGTGATTAGCTAAAACTGTTCTGTCACTAGTAGTGATGTGTTGGATTGTTAGCCTGTGACCTCCAATGTGCCACCCTAGACACTTTGTACCTATGGGCTGTTAGCTTAGGACAGTGTGTGCTGTTGTACTGAAATTCATTGTGTGTGCGTTCATGTATGTATGCCACTGTATGAGTGTGTTTTATGAAAGGGTGTGTGTGTGTGTGTGTGTGTTTTTTGGGTTTACAAAAGTGAGTGTGTAATTGTGTATGACTGATAGTGATGTGTGTATGCGCTTGCATGGTTTTCTGGACATACTGTACATTCCGGTACTGTGATTTTGTGCCGTTAAAAGTGCTGTTTTTGACTAGTCTTTGTAAAATAACCGGCTGTTGAGAAGTGTTTGGAAAAAATGTTATAATGACAGTGTAAACACAAAATGATATGCTAGATATAGTAGCTACACAAGGAAAATGAAAGACTGAAATAGTTTGCTTGCAGAACAACAAGACAATTTATTTCATCCTATTTAAATGATACAAAATACACTGTAGATGGTGTGAAGCTCATCCAAGGTAAATGATCAGCGCTGCATATGTACAAGTGAACTTGGTTTTTTGTTGTTGTTATCCATTGATTATGTGTATCAATTAATATAACTGAATTGATCCAAAGTATGGTTATAGAAAAGGTGATAAGGAAAGACTAGATCTGAAAATCTAATTCAATTGTCTTTTGTTATTTTAGTCTTTGGAAATGTCTCTCTCCCACACTGTATGTGGAATTTAAAATATATGAATAAGGAATGTTATTGAAAGCTTATAATGTATTTAAAACAGATTAGAGTAGGCTATGCACTGTATGTAAATGACAAATATCAAATAGAGAACATATGACAATCAATGTCAAAATATTATGCATTTATTTTCTTATTTTATTGTGTCAAATGAGAGCCTGAATTATGCTGGCAAGTGTGGGAGAATCATTTTAAAGCAAAAGGGTTTGAAGTTCAAGTTCTATTTAATTGAATAGACTATATAGTGTATACATATTTGTTTTATCTTTATTTTACTTTTATATTTATTCATGCACACAACATAGTTTTATGTGGAGGCAAAAATAAACAACCTCTTTTCAAAAGTCATTTTTAGTTAACTGTATTGGCTCTGCAAGCTTGTATGTGATTGGGATTAAAACATCTGGACAACATTACAGAGGCTTGAATTGGCTAGTTGTTGAATGTTGATATTAGAGAGCAGGGTGTGGACCCATCCAGGGGGGTCAGGGGGTCAGGGCACAGAGGGGGAACCCCTCTGCTTTCCAGGTCAACACCTCTGTCCAGGTCAAAAAATAAAACCCCTCTTTAAGCTGTATAGCTGGTGTGATCTCTGAGTCTTTCTTGTTTTCAGTCGGCCAGATCAAAGAACATTGACCACCCTGATAAGGAACTTATTTTATTGCACTACATTGATGTTGTTGCAGTGATTTGTAAGAAAGAGCTCTATTATAAAACATACAATGCTCAGACACCTCATTGTATTGGGGGTGTTTGGTTACAGAGGAGAAGACCCCTAGACCCCTTACAAAGGAGGCATACGCTATGAGGTACTTTCAGTGTTGGTTATTAAGGAACAAAAACCAGGTCAGATCTACAATAGTCATTGTAGGAAGCATTAACATTATTTTTTTATTCTACCAACATATTTCCTAAACCTAAAGACCCACGACTCTTCTAGTATTCAAATCAAAGTGTATTGGTCGCTTACACAGATTAGATAGTAGAAGTATGACTAAAGGTAGAAAATAATGTATTTAGCCTTTACATTGGCTGCATTAATGTAAAGCCCTAAACCATTTACAATTGTCTGTCCCCACTCCCGAGGCTGCCATCCAGTCCCAGCTAGACGGGGTACGTACAGGTGTCAGTCATATATCCAAAAGCCTGTTGATTTGAATTGCTTATTCAGTGGCCCTCTCCTTCTACCTGGATATGTGAGTCTGGTCGAGGCTCTGAGTGTTCCAGTGGAGGAGCGCAGCCAGGGAACAGTGCCCTCCAGATGCTTACTCATGGACCTGAACACCGGCCTGATCAAGAAACACGTCAGCGAGATGGACAGGAGGGTGACACAAGGTAAGGATGAATGATAGAAACGTTAAGGTCATTTTCCGGACATTTTGAATAAAGTTATGTCCACTGCTGGAAGGCTCACTCTCTCTCCCTGATTCTCTCCTCTCTCCAGTGTACACTCGTTCCTCTGTGGACGAGTTCCGACAGGGAACCGAGAACTCCCAGAAAACTCTGGTGGACATCAGGAGCGGACACATCACCAAGCCTGTCGGAGCGATGGAGAGGACTGGAGGCAAAGCATCAACACCGTTGAATCCTGAGGGATGTAAAATATGCTGGGATGCAACACAGTCAGCTTGCCTCAGCCGTGGAGAACCTGAAGAATATATTTTAAGATGCCACTTGATTGGGAACTATTATTGTTGGCTTGCATTGCATTTGTTGTGACACTGTATGACAGGCCTCTTCAACCCTGTTCCTGGAGAGTTACCTAATTATTATCTGGTTGATAAGCTAAATCAGAGACAGTACCTTCAGAAAGTATTCACAGCCCTTGACTTTTTCCACACTTTGTTGTGTTACAGCCTGAATTTAAAATAGATTAAATTGAGATGTTTTGGTCACTGGGCTACACACAATATACCCCATAATGTCAAACTGGAATTATGTTTTTTGAAATTATTACAAATTAATTAAAATTAAAAGCTGAAATGTCTTGAGTCAATAAGTATTCAACCCCTTTTTTATGGCAAGCCTAAATAAGTTCAGGAGTAAAGATGTGCTTAACAAGTCACATAATAAGTTGCATGGACTCACTGTGTGCAATAATAGTGTTTAACATGATTTATTTATGACTACCTCGTCTCTGTACCCCACACATACAGCAGTGAATTTCAAACAAGGATTCAATCAAAAAGACCAGGGAGGTTTTCCAATGCCTCACAAAGAAGGGCACATATTGGTAGATGGGTAAAAAAAAAAAAAAGCAGACATTGAATATCCCTTTGAGCATGGTGAAGTTATTAATTACACTTTGGATGATGTGTCACTACTAGTGGCGATTTTAGCATGTCAATCTTGGTGGGGTAAAACATTTGTTTTAGTTTTTTAGATGTATGCCAGCAAAGCCACAACACAACACTAAACAATACATTAATTGCACTATAACGGTGACAAACGGCGCCCACAAACTGTTAGGGCCTACATAAAGCTGTCCCAACAGCAGAGTCCCAACAGCAGTCCCAACACCTTACCACTGCTACACCTGTCTATCAGCAGAGCCTTGTCTGGCAGCGAAACAGTTCATTCAGCCTGCCTTTTTAAAAAACATAGCTGATATGGCTGACTTGCTTAAACAAATGTGGTTTCTACTGACAATTGAGAAGTACAAAATATGGCATAAGGGGACGATGAGCGGATGAGAGGCAATCTGTAATTTCGATTAAGACATTAATGAGCGAGCTAGGACAAACGAAGTCAATATAACTATTTGTTCAGCACTTTTGAAATGTACAGCGACAGAATTCAGAACATGGGCCGTTCTTACAGTATTCTCCCTGTACACCAAGTCAGAAACGTAGGATAAATAAAGGGGGCATATAAGCAGACAATGATAGCTCTTACAATATTCGATGATTACATTTCTCTTAAACAGGCTATAGGCTACATGTGCACCACCAAGTCAGAACAGTAGGCGAAATTAAGAGGGGGAAAGGGACCAAATTATTAGGGTGAGGCACATGGGCTACTAACAGCTTACTACACAACATACATGTATTATTACCTTCTTAGCTACAGTATACATATCTCCCTGGCATATTACGTCATTTATGCAGCAGCATACAATACATTTTTGGACTCACCTTGTTGTGCTGTGCTCACTTGAACAGGGAGGGGGCGCGGCGGTCCTTCGTGGGCAAATTGTGTCATCAAACTGGGTGGGGCAGCCATAGTCTGCTTTCAAGACAACTGGGAACTCGGAAAAAAACAAGGTTGAATCATGATGACGTCAGTGATCTTCAGGTCGGAGCTCCGGAAAAGAGGCCAGAGTTTCCGACTTGCAATTAAAAGTTGGATGACCATTCAAAATGTTCCCAGTTGGAGCTCGTTTTTTTCAGAGTTCCCAGTTGTCTTGAACTCACTGAAGTCAGATTTCCCAGTTCTGAGTTTCCAGTTGTTTTGAGCATGGCATAAATCATGCTGGATTGACAGCATGGCCAATGTTGAATGTTTATCCTTTTAAACTTGGAAAAGAGACCCTTAAACCCAGACTTGGATTTCACACCCACTCCACTGAATAGCAGGCTAGTGATTGCTTTGCAATGCTTGCAGTTAGCCACTGATTCCTTCCAAACCACTCATTGTTGAATTTGCCATTTTGTTAAGTCAATTATTTAACAAACTATTTCAGTGTCTCTGTGCGTCTCCCAAAAGGTTGTAAGTCTTTTGGGATTTAAGTAACGGACAGAGTCCCGGTCTGCATAGTCAGAGATTTATTAATTGAGAATTCTATCATCACAATTTCAGAGTCCATCTTTTATACTCATAGCTCTCCTGACCATCAGTTCATACACACACACACACATACACACACACACACACACACACACACACACACACACACACATGCATACACACACACATACATACACACACATGCATTCCTTAGTTATCGCCGTCCTCATACTCCTTAAAAAGCCTAACCGTTTCTCTCCTCCCTAAATTGGGAGGCCTCTTTATCTTGGTTTCTCAGTTGTCTGTAGACAGTTCTCCTTGTCCTATGTTGTCTGGTCTAACTCGTACTCACATTGCTAAATAGTAGCTCAATGTCATAGTCTTTACTGGTCCTACACTCACACATTACCAGGTAGTAGATTCTAACACATCTCACACAGTTTCAGAGTGTAATAATTAGTCATTAATAATTAATCCATCAATCCACCCTTTGACTAAATATTACACACATACTCACAAAATATATGTTGTTATAGAAATGAATCACACACATTTAAGCATATAAGTTGATTTGCATATAAAAACATTAAAAATTGTCTCATTCAATACAGGTTCATCAGGGTTACCCCATGATTAAAAGTGTAACGTTACTTTTTAGCAATGGTGCCTAACCTGTTTACCCCCTATCTGGAAACAACAGTCTAAGCCTATAGTGAAGAACATTTGCTTCATCACATCCTGCAACATCGGTTAACTAGTACATCATACTTAAAACAAGACTTTAATACACAAAAGATCATTACAATAACTTTTAAACTAGAGATTTATAGTTCTAGGAAAACATCCAGTCTCAAACTATCTGAATCATCGTCGTCCTCCACCAAGCAACACTACAACAATAGTTTTCCATTTACCAAACATTTGATCAAACCAACCAGTCATTGATGTATTCACCCCCCAGTTCTCAGCCCATTCTTTACTTAATGCAGTGAGACCTGCCAGTGCTCTAGTTACTGTACCATCTGGGGCTGTATTGTTGGGGATAAACATACAACAATGACCTCCCACCATCTTGTAAATCCGCCCTTCTCTGCTAAAAGCATTTCGAGAACCAAACTATTCTGCAGGTCATGAGTGAGGTGGCGGATAGTTGGCCTGAGATTCTCTTCACTGCATCCCTTGTCTAATTAACGAACCTTTGTAGATGTAATTAATCCAGTCAACATTTGTATCAATTGTAACCCACCAGAAAAACTTTGTTGTAAACCCTTCTCCAATTTGATCTGTGATTCGCATTACTTTGGTGTCTATAACATTGATAATCTCTGGGGTTCATGGTGAATTGGGGTGCCTTAGTATTATCCTTTTTAAGAGTGGTTATTTTAATATCAGAACAATTAGGTGAGGTTTGGTTTGATCCCAAATCTATCACACAAGAGAACATGGTCTGAGGCATAGGTGCAGTTACAAGGGTTGGCCTACCTGTTAAACAGGCATAACAATTAGTTTGACCCAACACCCTAGCTGTGTAGTTCATCCACCTTACCCAGAAGTTGTCATTTGAAATCCCTTCTACTTCTCCTTGGTTCATTTCCTGCAAGATGAAATATTCTACCCTTGGTGGTTTAGTGCTATTTAGGATTCCTTCTGAGGGCCTTCCAAGGGGTATTAGACTATTTGTTGATACCTCTGTTGATAACATTAGATCTACCTGCTGTTCTGTCTCGGGGGTGGAAGATTCATTTCTCTCCTGAAAAATGAACCTCAAACATATATCTGCCCCGAAATCATCAACACAGGCCCAATAGTTCCTTGCTATGTCATCTTGCATAATTGACTTTACCGTTATCACCAGTTCCGTTTTACATTTATCATGGGTTTGTTTAATTCCCCATCGGTGTGCTGCGTCCATTCCATTCTCATAGTATGTTCCCCAGGTATGTTTAAACACCCTTGCCCAAGGACATGAGCGTTCCCCAGTGCAAATGTATTTACCATACCTTCTAGGACCTAACTTTCTTGTACACGCCCCCTTCTTACCAAAGCCCCCAAAACCTCCTATCTCTTCATGGGAGAAGTCGAATGGTATCTTGAATCCCCCATCTTGTCCTGAACTGACTTTAACTATTAAAATAATCATTCCCCCAATAGTCTTTCTTGGTTTCAGTATTTCTACGAGATCGAATCAGTGCATCATTTCCCTGTTTAGGTTGACCTGGATTAATCCATAATATGGTTAACATGATGATGCAGCTCAGAGTCCCCCAAAATCCCAAAAACCGCCATCCCAATCCTGTCCCTGACCCACCTTCCTGTTACTTCCCCATACCCACACCTCTATAACCACCCCACAGTGATGAAAGGTCGGGGTAGGGTTTCTTCGTTAACAGAGTTTACCCCCGAACCCTAGTGGTTCAGTTCTTCTCTTTAACTCTGTGTGTGTTCAACAGTGTTGGTATGTGGGCCTACCTTTTTGCAGTGGGTAACGTGGACCCAAGTGGCTCTCTCAGCTATTCTTATAGTGAAGGCAGTTACCAATAGGACTTGGTATGGTCCCTCCCAGCGTAGCCGCTTTCAATCCTTTTTCCTCAACGATTGGATCCACACCCAGTCTCCAGGTTATATACTATGAATCACCTTCTCCTTTAATTCTCCTGTAGGACACAAATTCTTAGACATACGGGTATGGTTAACGAACAATTTTCTCATGTGTTCTGCTAGTGTACTCTCTAGTTCTATGTCTGCCTGTTCTGGTCCTGCCAACTGTGGCATTCTGTAAGGTCTTCCAAACACTTTCTCAATGGGGGATAACCCATCTTTATCTGGGGTTACTCTAAATCTCTTCCCTTCACTCCGTGATAACTCTATAAAATCCATTTCCAATTGCTGGAAGGGGTACTTAGCCGGAGGATACTCACCCTGAGGTGCCCTTTGTCTGCCCTGGTGATTATTTTGAGCACAGATAACACATTTATTCTCATAAGAAAACATATATACCCTAAACTGGAATCACCCCTTTCTGTATAGCTAGTCTTGACTAGTCCCCCAGAATTATCTCATACTCTACGGAGGAATTTATCCCCACAATGTAATCTTGATCATTCCTGACAGTCTCATACAACAGGAATGGGTTCTCCCTCTTTTCTATACAACCACCTGGAATTATTCATAGATGTGACTTTTGAGCAAATATTAGGTCTCACACGTATACAACCTTACATGATTATTGGTTAACACCATCGGTAACCCGGAGTTTGTAAGGCTCCAGTTTCATGAAACAGATAGAGTTACGGCAAAATCTACAGTTGTTTGTGACTTTTGACTTTACTAATATTCTATTTCTCACACATGCTATTTTAATTCCTTCTGGTGTACACCCCTCCCTGTACTTCTTTATCCCGGATTATTTGTTGAACATTACTGTTCTATAATCTACTACAGGTTCTCTGAATACAGGGTAGTTTCTTTTGGTAATGGCCTATTACCGTGAATCGTTACGGACCCACCCTGAGCAATCCCAGACTGCCCCAATTAATGAATAAAGACTACTGACCTTATCCTTGCAGCCGAGATTCAATGTAGGTTTGGATTCCGTCACCGTCTCTGTCATTAATCAGGTGTCCTCTGGCCTGTCTTAACCCTTAGGGTCAAAGGGCAGGACTTTCTATTTACGAATGTATCATTCGCCTGTCAACGGTTTTCAGAGTTACCTGGAATGACAGAGGCAGGTATTGGATTCCGAGCTCGAAGGACCAAGCTGTTAAGTGAATTATTTAACAAACTATTTCAGTGTCTCTGTGCGTCTCCCAAAAGGTTGTAAGTCTTTTGGGATTTAAGTAACAGACAGAGTTCCGGTCTGCATAGTCAGAGATTTATTAATTGAGAATTCTGCCATCACAATTTCAGAGTCCATCTTTTATACTCATACGTCATACAAAAATCCCTCCCCTCTTTAGGCAGGCTGTAGTTTTCCACTTTATAATTGCTCTCCTGGCCATCAGTTCACACACACACACACACACACACACACATACACACACACATACATACACACACACACACACACACACACACACACACATGCATACACACACACATACATACACACACATGCATTCCTTAGTTATTGCCGTCCTCATACTCCTTAAAAAGCCTAACCGTTTCTCTCCTCCCTAAATTGGGAGGCCTCTTTATCTTGGTTTCTCAGTTGTCTGTAGACAGTTCTCCTTGTCCTTTGTTGTCTGGTCTAACTCTTACTCATATTGCTAAATAGTAGCTCAATGTCATAGTCTTTACTGGTCCTACACTCACACATTACCAGGTAGTAGATTCTAACACATCTCACACAGTTTCAGAGTGTAATAATTAGTCATTAATAATTAATCTATCAGATTTCCAACTTGTTATGTAATGTTTATGTCCAATGGCCGATGAGCACCGATTCGTTTTATCTATAATTTCTCTTAATTTTTAAAGGATTAAAAAGGATTTGCCAGTAGATTGTCGACTTGATTCATAATGATGACTGCTAGCTTGCTAGCTAAGATTTTGAAAGTATGATGTTGACATGATCAGTCCAATCAAAGCTACTGTAGATATAACGTGATTTGACATCATTTTATCTGTGGCCAATGACCTTGAGCCTTCTTGGATGGGCACTTCTAATGTAACTCTATGGCAGCACCCAAGTGGCTTGAATTTTCGATCTCAACCTTAAGATTTGGTGGGGACGTAGTGTCCCCATGAGTGACAGAACACTGAGCAAATCACGGCGCAACTAGAGAACATTACCAACCCCTACGCTCCATATTTTCGGCTGGCTGCCCCACCACCACAGAAAGCACTGAGCTAGGCTGAAACACCTGCAATTTGGAGCTGCCTTACTCGAGAAAGCAAAAAAGAGACCATGTTTGTATGCGGCTTTATTAACTCACTGATTTTTATTTCATATTTTTTACATTGTTTGCAAACTGATATGTGAAACGTGTTAATGCCAAAATAACATGCAAAACAGGCAACCCAAGCTTTTTTTCAGCTCTGCCCCACCTGCCCTGAATGATGGGTTGCCACTGGTCACTACAAAGATACAGGCGTCCTTCCTAACTCAGTTGCCTGGGAGGAAGGAAACCGCTCAGGGATTTCAATGGTGACTTTAAAACAGTTACAGAGTTTATTGGCTGTGAAAAGAGAAAACTGAGGATGGATCAACAACATTGTAGTTAATTCACAATACTAACCTAAATCACAGTGAACAGAAGGAAGCCAGTACAGAATATGCTAAACATGCATCCTGTTTGCAATAAGGCACTAAAGTAAAACTGCAAAACATTTGGCAAAGAAATGAACTTTATGTCCTGAATACAAAGCATTATGTTTGGGGCAAATCCAACACAACACATCACTGAGTACCACTCTTCATATTTTCAAGCATGGTGGTTGCTGCACCATGTTATGGGTATACTTGTCATCGGCAAGGACTAGGGAGTTTTTTAGGATAAAAATTAATGGAATAGAGCTAAGCATAGGCAAACTCCTAGAGGAAAACCTGGTTAAGTCTGCAACTACTTGTGATGTAGTGATTTGAAGGAGTCAGGCGCAGGAGGGTAAATCACAGAATAACAGGATTTATTCTGGAATACAGAGTTACGCAATAAAGTGACAAAACAGGAGCACTGAAACCAGGAAGGCACACGGGGAAAATAACCCGGTGATACAAAATACAAGGAGCTCCACCGAGCTTCACTAATATCACAATATACAATCACACTCAAAGACAAGGAGGCAGAGGGAACACTTATACAGGTACTGATGAGGGGATATGAACCAGGTGTGTGTAATAAACAAGACAAAACAAATGGAATGATGAGATGAGGAGAGGCAGTGGCTAGAAGGCCGGTGACGACGAACGCCGAAGCCTGCCCGAACAAGGAGAGGAGGCAGCCTCGGAGGAAGTCGTGAGAGTACCCCCCCCCCCCCCCACCCCGCCTTGACGCGCAGCTCCAGCAGCGCGCCGATACCGGCCTCTGGGACTACCAGGAGGACGCGGAGCAGGGCGAGCCGGATGGCGACGGTGGAAATCCTGCAACAGGGAGGGATCGAGGATATCCCTGCACTGGGACCCAGCACCGCTCCTCCGGACCGTACCCCTGCCAATCCACGAGGTACTGAAGCCCCCCACCCGACGCCTCGAATCCAGGGTGGAACGGACGGAGTACTCTCTGGAGGGAGTAATAACCTATAAATAACCTATTTTATTCTCCTCAGGACTTTGAACGGCCCCACAAACCGCGGGCTCAGCTTCCGGCAAGGCAGCCGGAGGGGCAGATTCCGGGTCGAGAGCCAGACCCGATCACCCAGTACGAAGACCGGGGACTCACTTCAGTGGCGGTCAGCGTTGGCCTTCTAGCGACGCACAGCACGTTGGAGGTGGACGTGGGCAGCGTCCCACGTCTCCTCCGCGCGCCGAAACCAGTAATCCACCGCAGGAGCCTCGGTCTGGCTCTGATACCACGGTGCCAGAACCGGCTGATAACCTAAAACACATTGAAATGGCGTTAGGTTAGTGGAAGAGTGGCGGAGAGAGTTCTGGGCATATTCGGCCCATGGCAAAAACACTGACCACTCCCCCAGCCGGTCCTGGCAGTAGGACCACAGGAACCTACCCACATCCTAATTCACCCATTCTACCTACCCATTAGACTCGGGGTAGGCCACCAGTACTTTCCGGTCAGGCAGCGCACTGTACGACCGATACCTGGGTGACCAGAGGAGGGTGACGTGTGTGCCCAATAGATCAGACGGTCACAGACAAGAGAAGGCACGTACTGCAGCCCAGCTGGACACTGAGCTGGAGATGGCTCTGTGCGTAACGCCCACACTATGTCCGCGTCCATCGCCCATACTACCGGCGCCACAATGCAGGAGGCCAGGAGTATGGGGGTGTTGTCTATGGGCCTCTCCTCTGGGTCGTACAGCCGTGACAGTGCGTCTGCCTTCACGTTCTTCATACCCGGGATGTAAGATAGTGTAAAGTCAAACCAGGTGAAGAATAGGGCCCACCTGGCCTGGCGAGGGTTCAGCCTCCTCGCTGCCAGGATGTACTCCAGGTTACGGTGGTCTGTCCAGACGAGGAAAGGGTGTTTCGTCCCCTCGAGCGAGTGCCTCGGACAACAGCCAACAGCTCCCGATCACCAACGTCGTAGTTCTGCTCCGCCGGGCTGAGCTTCTTGGAGAAGAAGGCACAGGGGCGGAGCTTGGGTGGCGTGCCCGAGCGTTGAGATAGGACAGCGCCTATCCCTACCTCGGACACATCCACCTCCACTACGAACGGTAGTGATGGATCGGGATGGGCCAATACCGGGGCTGAGGTGAACAGAACCCTCAGGTTACTGAAGGCCCTGGATAAACCTCCAATAGTAGTTGGCAAAGCCAATAAAGCGCTGCACCTCCTTTACTGTGGTTGGAGTCTGCCAATTACGCACGGCTGAAATGCGATCTCCCTCCATCTCCACACCTGAGGTGGTAATGCGGTATCCGAGGAAGGAGACGGACTGTTGGAAAAACAGACACTTTTCTGCCTTGGCATAAAGGTCATGTTCCAACAGTCGGGCCAGCACTTTGCGAACCAGGGACACATGCTCGGCGCGCGTAGCGGAATACACCAGAATGTAATCGATGTAGACCACTACACCGCGACCAAGCATGTCCCGAAACACCTAGTTCACAAAGGACTGGAAGATGGATGGAGCATTCATCAAACTGTAAGGCATCACCAGGTATTCGTAATGCCCCATGGTGGTGCTGAATGCTGTCTTCCACTCGTCCCCCTCTCGGACACGCACCAGGTTGTATGCACAACGGAGATCTAATTTTGTGAAGAAGGGCGCAACATGCATTGACTCGATCACAGATGGAATGAGGGGTAGAGGATAACTATAACGTATTGTCCCCTTGTTCAGTGCTCGGTAATCAATGCAAGGGCGCAGACCTCCGTCTTTCTTCTTCACAAAAAAGAAACTCGAGGAGGCGGGTGAAGTGGAGGGACGTATGAACCCCTGGCGCAGGGACTCGGAGACGTATGTCTCCATAGCCTCTGTTTCAGCCTGCGACAGGGGATACACATGACTCCTGGGAGGCACAGTGTCTGGGGTTCACTGTTAGACAGTGTGGTGTCTGTATATCCCAGAAATGTTACATATGCACAAAAAGCTTATTTATCTCAAGTTGTGTGCACAAATGTGATTGCATCCCTGTTAGTGAGCATTTATCCTTTACCAAGATAATCCATCCACCTGACAGTTGTGGCTTATCAAGAAGTTGAATAAGCAGCATGATCATTACACCGGTGCATTCATCCGCCGCCATCACCTCATGTTTCAGCATGATAATGCATGGCCCCATGTCGCAAGTATCTGTACACAATTCCTGGAAGCTGAAAATGTTCCAGTTCTTCCATGGCCTGCATACTCACCAGACATGTCACCCATTGAGCATGTTTGGGATGCTCTGGATTTATGTGTATGACAGCGTGTTCCAGCTCCCGCCACTATCCAGCAACTTCGCACAGCCATTGAAGTTGAGTGGTACAACATTCCACAGGCCACAATCAAAAGCCTGATCAACTATGCGAAGGAGATGTGTCTCGCTGCATGAGGCAAATGGTGGTCACACTTTTCTGATCCACACCCCTACCATTTTTTTTTGTTAGTATCTGTGACCAACAGATGCATATCTGTATTCCCAGTCATGTGAAATCCATAGATTAGGGTCTAATTCATTTATTTAAATTGACTGATTTCCTTATATGAACTGTAACTCAGTCAAATCTTTGAAATTGTTGCATGTTGCTTTTATAGCTTTGTTCAGTATAGTTAGGCAGTTGCTTCCAGCTAAAGTCCAAATTATTCACATCTTCTCTCTCTCTCGTTTAGTCCCGTCCATCTCAGAGCTGTGACCAACCCTCCTCTCATGGGCCTAGGCCTGTGACTCCTCTCTCAGAGTGAATATGTGTGCTGTTGTGGATGGGGCTCTGCTCCCTACTCTTTACCCTATGATTTGTTGTATGAATTGCTTTGATCTGAGACCGTAGTTGATGTTGTTCAACTCAATAAGATCATGAGCTTAAAACTGTTTCTGAATATAATCATATCACTTAAATATTTTGGTTCCAAAAGAGGGGTTTCGTATTTTGCCTCAACACTGAACTTGGACGGTCAATATGGTGGGTAAAATCTCTAAACAGAAGCACTGGTTTAATTCAAACCCAGAGAAAGAGAAGCCCATACCTTGTGCCATCTCTTCATGGTCCTCTTGTGCAGCCTCTATGAGTGGAATGTATCCCTCATCGTTGACCTCCTCCAGGTTGGCGCCCCACTCGATCAGCAGGGCAGCCAGCTCTATGTGTGCCCATCAGGGTGCCAGTGTCAGGGGAGACTCAAACGAGTCAGCAGACATATTGACCTGTGACCCCCGCTGTCCAATAACCGAGTTCGGCCTGAGTCCTGGTGCTAGCTGGGCTGTGTTACAGATGATTTAGCATGTAAGACCCCGTAAGAACAAATACAATTCGATAGCTTCGCCGGGAGTAGTGGGCGGATGCAGATTGGTCTCTGCCATTGCAAGGCATGAAATGTCAAAAACAGTCTAATGTCAAGGGCATGGAACTCTCTGAAGGCATTCCTCTCTACAAGTCTGTATTTGTTGTTGAGAGACTCTTTTCAGGTGATCCCTGGCCCCATACAGCTGTGGAAGGCTGTACATAAGCAGTAGATAGCCATTAGGAGCTACAGCGCTTCTGCAGGGGCGGATTCTGTGTGTTCCAGAGATGAACAACGTGCTGCAATTCTTCCTATAAAATAAAAAACACTGAAAAAATTATTGGATTAGTCACAATATTTTAATAAATATACCTTTCCTGCCTTAGTTAAGGGTACACCGTGATGGTTAGTTGTGAATTCTTAACCTATAATTTTGGCATGAGTATAGCTTTGAAGAAATGAATCAACCCTTTACTCCATTCAACCCACATAATCATTATTTTTAGGCTGACAAATTCTTGAAAAGCTTTTGCACTCTAACCAATGAGGTAATGTATTGACAATATGTCTGGACCTGTTTTAAGGTTGCTCCCCCAGTGGCAAATTTTACACATACCGATACCATTTTTAATCGATAGAATTCGGCTTTGCCTTCCGGTCATCCCAGAATTGCTGCATGTAGGCTATTCTTCTATTGCCTCATTTCTATTCATGATAATGTTGTTGCCTGTGTAGGTCAATTGAGTAGCGTAGTGTAGCAGCATTGTCTTACCCTTTCATAATTTACAAATAACATACATTTGGAAAACTATAGGCTTTGAATTTGCCCTTTAATCAAGTGTGTGTAACAGTGTTGCTTCCGTCCCTCTCCTCGCCCCTACCTGGGCTTGAACCAGGGACCCCCTGCACACATCGACAACAGTCACCCTCGAAGCACCGTTACCCGTCGCTCCACAAAAGCCACGGCCCTTGCAGAGCAAGGGAAACTACTACTTCAAGGTCTCAGAGCGAGTGACGTCACCGATTGAAATGCTACTAGTGCGCACCGCTAACTAGCTAGCCATTTCACACCGGTTACATATGGGTCACAATTTATTTGGATAGTCCCCTATGGTATTATACAGATGCTCAAACTATCAACTGCAACTGTTAATATGCAACAGCTTGCTGGGGTTATGTCTAAGGGTTAGGGTTAGAGTAAGGGTTAGGGTAAGAATAAGGGTTAAGTGTTAGAGCTAGGTTATAGGGTTAGTGGATAGTTTACATTTTGTTGACTGTTACTTGAAAATAATTTCCTGTACCTTGATAATTTGTAGACAGGTAAATAATATTACATTCTTGTCCATAAAAGCACCAGAAAAATGGTCTGAGTCCTTCAAATCTTGAAAGCTGTTCATCCAGTACTGAGCATGATGTTTCCTTAAAAATCCCCACCAGCTCTCGATCCGCTGGTTGTGGTTGTGGATCCATATAAATTATATGGCATTTTCCTGCTTGGATGCAAGATGCATTAGTTTGTATGTGAAGCTTCACATGTCGGCCCAGTTGATAAAAAAGGACGCTATGTCAAGGAGGTCCAATAGATTTTTCCCATATGTAGAGCCTTAGAAAACTCAGAATCCTCGGCAATGTATGTAAATTAATGACAACACCATCTATATTGCTCAATGACACTAATATCTCCCAATGCATCAAAGAAAATAAAAATGTATCAACTCAAGCAAACCGGCCATATTGTCAACCTGTGCATGAGAGGAAGCCAAGCTTGCAGAGTAGCCTATGCTAACTTTCAGCATAACAAAGGCATAGACTATTTCTCATAATAACGGGCAACCGGATGATTTTGCAATAACCACATCTTTCTCATTATAACGTGATCTTTCTTATAATAACAAGGTCTTTATCCTTATAATGTTCTTTCCCGTAATAACGAGATAATTGATTATTTTGTTATAATGGGTTATTGAATTATTTCGTAATAATTGATCATATATCCTAATAATGATATGAAAAATATGTTTTCCTGAGTGGCAGCCATACTAAGTAGACAGAGCAGAAAGAAATGTAAATTTACCAGCCATGACAGCTGTAGTCAAATCGTGTCTCTCACCAACAGTGTTGCCAACTATTTTTCAGTTAGAATGGCTATTGTCTCTAGATGTCGCTAGATGACGTTTTGCCGTTTCTGCGATCCCCTATATAGCGTTTTTGCCCCCTTCCCCGTCGCACACCTCCTCCTTCTCTGCCTGTGTGTGCGCTGTAGCTGTGACTTTGTTGCACAGACAGTTTCTCCCACTCTCGTTTGCGGCAGAATTGAGTGGGAAAAGTCGCTCAATCTTATCAAAACCATAGAAGCTCTCGGTGGCAGAACTCCCCAAAGGCGTTGGGAGGCTAGCTCGCAGCCAGCTCCAAGGAATTACAGCGCAAAACACAGCTGGAATACACCTCTATCTCTCAATATTGGCCACCATTTAATTGGATATTTTAGTGATATAAAATAAAACTGTTTTACCTGACAAGTATGTGTGGTTTAGGCTGCTCTGTTAAGCAGCAGAAGGGCGCATTTGCCCACGTGTGCATCGTACTAGCTAGCCATAAACAATATTTGTCAGCAAGAAACTTTATTAATAAACATTGGTAAGTTCTGTACTTTTTTCTCTCCAACCAACATACCATAGCTAGCTAATATTATACCCCTTTCAACATTGATTTTAAAACTGTTTAATCACAATTGCTGCTGGAAAGCAATTTATACAGACATTGATGGACCACATCAAATTGGCTAACTAGCTATTTAATACAGATCACGTCAATTTGGCTAGCTAACAGCTAGCTAGCTTTCAGTGGATAAACTATCTAGCTATTTAGCTATCTCTAAATATTGCCAGCAATGCCTAGTGATGACAGTAACTTAGTCAGACAGACAACTTTACCAGGCGGAGTTTAGACTCAAAATAAACTACTTGCCATGTCAAGCTCTTTTCAAAAGCCTTCTCTGTTGAAGCAAGCTAAATGACACTGTCACGCCCTGACTCTGAGGACTTGTATTTGTTGAGTCAGGGTGTGTATATTTCGTGTTGTGTTTATTTCGATGGTGATATGTTCTAGTATGTCTATTTCTATGTTGGCCGGTGTGGTTCCCAATCAGGGGCAGCTGTCGCTCGTTGTCTCTGATTGGGGACCATACTTAGGCAGTCTTTTGGCACCTGTTAGTTGTGGGATCTTGTTCCTTGTAAGGTATGTTGTGTGTATGCTACCTTGGACTTCACGTTTCGTTTGTTGTTTTGTCGTGTGTTAAGTCGTTAATAAATATGAATGCATATCACGCTGCGCCTTGGTCCTTCTCGTTCATGAACGATCGTGACAGAAGATCCCACCAATCCTGGATCAAGCAGCGTGACGAGGAGAGAGGATGGACTTGGGAGGAGATGAGCGAGAGTCTGGCAAGAGGGATGGAGGCCATGATCACGGGGGAGAGACAATCCCCCAAAAAAATTAGGGGGGGGCTCACGCCGTGGACGACGAGGCAGCAGGAGGCGGCGATAGAGCGGTTCAGCTGTTTAGCAGAGGAGGACACCAGATTAGGGGGGTCATTGGTTCAGAGGGAGCAGAAGGAAAGTGTAGAGGCACGGCGAGAGGAGCTGGTTAGGCAGCAGAAGGAGTGGGGGTTAATGAAGGAACCCAGTCCCGCTCCTCGCACCAATCAAGTGGTGCGTGTCGCCAGTCCGGTCCGGCCCGTTCCTGCTTCCCGCACTAAGCCAGTGGTGTGTGTTCCCAGTACGGTTCGGCCCGTTCCTGCTCCTCGCATCAAGCCAGTGGTGCACGTCGCCAGCCCGGTCCGGCCTGTTCCTGTCCCTCGCACCAAGTCCGTGGTGCGCGTCGCCAGCCCGGTCCGACCTGTTCCTGTCCCTCGCACCAAGTCAGTGGTGCTCGTCGCCAGCCCGGCCCGGCCCGTTCCTGCTCGTCGCACCAAGCCAGTGGTGCGTGTCGTCAGCCCAGTCCGGCCCGTTCCTGCTCCCCGCACCAAGCCAGTGGTGCGTGTGTCCAGTCCGGCACGGCCCGTGCCTGTTCCACCGGTGCCAGGTCCGGCACCGGTCAGCTGCTCCACTCCGGAGCCAGAGCAATCCGCTCCACCGGGGTCCAGTCCAGCTCCGGTCAGCGGCTCCACCCCGGAGCCAGAGCAGTCCGCTCCACCGGTGCCTGATCCAGCTCCGGTCAGCGGCTCCACCCCGGAGCCAGAGCAGTTCGATCCACCGTCGTCGGGTCCAGCTCCAGTCAGCGGTTCCAGTCCAGACCCAGACGTCAGCCCCTCTCCAGGTTCGGGGTCTCCCATACCAGGGTCCAGACAGGGCTTGGTACTTCGTGGGAGGAAGGAGAGGGGAAGCAGCGTGCCGAGGTCCAGACCAGACCAGGGGCGCAACGGGGAGGTGGAGAGTAAGAGGTGGTCACACCCGGAGCCGGATCCGGGGGGGGGGGGGGGGGGGTACTGTCACGCCCTGACTCTGAGGACTTGTATTTGTTGAGTCAGGGTGTGTATATTTCGTGTTGTTTATTTCGATGGTGATATGTTCTAGTATGTCTATTTCTATGTTGGCCGGTGTGGTTCCCAATCAGGGGCAGCTGTCGCTCGTTGTCTCTGATTGGGGACCATACTTAGGCAGCCTTTTGGCACCTGTTAGTTGTGGGATCTTGTTCCGTGTAAGGTATGTTGTGTGTATGCTACCTTGGACTTCACGTTTCGTTTGTTGTTTAGTCGTTAATAAATATGAATGCATATCACGCTGCGCCTTGGTCCTTCTCGTTCATGAACGATCGTGACAGACACAAGTTGTTTGCTTAGCTACATGCCGAATGGATAGGCCAATGCTACCTTCACATAGCTTATCTTAAATTACATTATGTTTACTGATCATAAAAAGCATGCAGTTACTTTCTGAATAACTATGATATAGAGCTAAATGTGTACAATTGTTTTGCATGGAATAATCGGAAATTAGTCATTCTGATGTGCTCTTCAAGAGGTGATCATATTACAACCAAATAATTGTAACATTTATTTGACAATCCCTTGAGAACAGCATGCAGTTGTCAATGGTTTTAGCGGGGCTGGAAGTCTCCTAGCCCCCCAGAAGGCAAATCGAACGCTCTTCACCTTATTGTGATGTTTTATTGATAATGACCTATAGAAATGCATTTATTAATGTCTACATTCATTTTTGCCACATTTAATCTATTACAGACACCTTAATGTATACTTTTTAATTATATTATGTGAGCTAAACATTTAAAATATATATATATATATATATATATGGGACGGACACTGGTTGAGTAACTGTTATGGGCTTCATTGATAAGAATCACCTCTGCATGAAGCAATCCATAAATGAATGTAAAAACATTTTCCTTAAAGTATCATTTTTAGAGATTACTAATGTTACCGTCCCCACTACAACAACAAAAATACTGAAATACATGTAATTTTGTCCTTGAAACATTTTATTGAAATACTGTAGAACACCATTTATTCCTAGGGAGGACTGCTCCTAATGGGGAGTGCCAATATGTCCGACCAGTGGCTTCAAATCCTCGCAATGGCCAATACATAGCATTAACAATCCAGGGTTCATATACATCATTGGTCTGGACACTCACTGATTATATAGAGGGACAAAGTGGGGTGCAAAGTCGCTAAATTAGCAACTCTGCTCACGACACGTCATCATACTGTAACGCATGCGCACGTCGTGATCCTCGGGCGTCAAGGCTCGATAGCAGGACCGCAAACTCCATGATGCAATACTGGCCAAATGTTGGGTGATCTGGTTGGGTGACAATAAACCAGGAATTTCCATTGCACAACATGGCACGACATGGTTTGGTTTGTATTGGAATAGATTTTTATTTTTCACTGATTTAGACATAATTCCAAGATTATTTTCTTATCGGATGCAATCTCCTTAGAGATCACATGCGAAAAAGAGGAAGGGTTTTTCCCTCCGAAAATATCTAAGTGGATTGGTGACACTAGATGTGATTTTTACCTATCCACTCCACTTAGCCTACATACATACAGTAAAGGCATGATGATAATAGAATACGATATTACATAACGAGGCAATAAGCACAACTCCCATACCTAAAAGTGTTATGCTTGACTCCCCTGTGCAACCTGGACACAGGGGTAGACATAATATAATTCGAAGATAACGTTTTTGTTATTTTTCTCAGAGCTGTGTGTATGGGGGAATGCCAGCTCTCTGTTCTCCCTGATGCAACACGGGGCTGGTGTTGAGGCAGAGGGGAACGTGGCTGTGCCATTGTGTCTCAGGCACATACCAGACAATCTCTCTCAAAAAATGCTTTGTCACTCTGACTGGGGCAGCTGATATGAAGCAGGATGTTTGGATTAACACATGGCTTGATAATAATAGGATCGCAGTTGACTCATTGTCCCTCCTCTGCTCCTATCATATGACAACGAGTGAATGAGAAAAGTATCAAACTAAAGATGATGTTGCAGATTCCTTTCAGATTTAATATGCCCTGCTAGTAACTAAACACATGTTTTACAGATCCCTTTTGCTGGTACAGATTCTGTTTGGTTTTCACTCGCACTGTACTTCACTCGCACTGTACTTTTTGCTCCTAAATTGGGATGAGTAACTCATTTCTGGCATGGTAGATGTTTATCGCTGTAATGCATGGCATTGAATGAGGGAGGGGTACCACTTTTGCTGTTGACTTCTAATCACTAATATACACTGAGTGTACAAAACTTTAGGAGCACCTTCCTAATATTGAGTTGCACCCCCTTTTGCCCTCAGAACAGCCTCAATTCGTCAGGGCATGGACTCTACATTTTACATGTTATATACTGTACATGCTGACAGATTTAATGTGGCCCAGCAATCAATACTAGTGACAATGACTCCACCAGTGAATGAAAGCTGTGCTGGGTGAGTTGAGTGCAATGTCTACAATTATTTATTTTTCATCTCTCTCTTGTTATGTCACTGATCTGACATGAACATGAGTGGATGTCCATTTAGAGTGCACCAAGTGCCCCCACTTTCTGACAGTAACACATTACATACAATATCTACCAGACAATAAAGTGCAACTAAACCTTTTGAAAATCATTGATGAATATGAATTCAAGATGAAGTGGACTGAAATAGGTGTTGATGCTCATTTTGGGGTGCCGGCACTCATTACATTTTAGAGGCAATATTCTATAAGAGGTTCCAGAACAGTCAATCAGTAGCACATTTGAGGTGCACACCGGTTCAAGCATGGTTTTTAAAAGACCTAAAACAGCCATCCAAAATGCGATTTACAGTTCTACCAACCGTTGCAATGATTAGGGACAAACATGCCCGGAAGCAATCTGATAAACCTGAAAATAAGTTTATGACAAAGTAAAATGGACGATGGAGGATCCCGCGTAGGCTGAGCGTGTTATCACTTGCATAACTGAATTTCGGGATTCACAAAAAGCCCCCATTTCACCATTCCCCTTCAGGCTAGATTGATCTGCTCAGTCTCTCCGTTTTGTAACTTAATCAAAAGCCCTGGCTTTGAACATTGGGTACCTTTTTGAGGGCAGATAACATTAACAATGTCTGTGCATGGACTGATTTGCCGTGGCTTTAACTGTAGAGTGGTACAGTTTGGTTTAAAAAAGAACTGAGAAGCTGCACATTTCATAGCTGGACCTTGATCAGCTGTTTGACCAACCTGTTTCTAAATTCGAAAGATTTGATGCCAAATAGAATGCCATAAATCTGCAGTTTACAGTGTAAAAAACAACAACAGTGAAATTAGAAAAATCCCCATCATTGCTTAATGCAAATAAATGTACCGTGCACATCAAAATCATACATACTTTTACCAAATTTAGTAAATTATATACAATATTATAGCCTACAAAACAAGACTTTACTCCTTGCTTTACCGTTTGTGTTTTTTTTATACCTCCTGCCCCTGAACATTTCTCTTTGTGACTGGTTACTCAGCTTGTAAACTATAGACAGCTATGGGCTGTACTAAAGACTGTTGACCTATTTTGCCATTCATTTATTTATGTGAAACTGCACATTCACCATGAATTTGATGTGACACACACAGTTCTCTGCTTTCAACTATGTTTGACGATACAGATACATTTATTCCACCAATACAGGCAATTTATGTAGCTACAGGAAAACTCTGTGGCAATATTGTGGCCTAATTAATGTAGTTTCCCTAAATTGGTGAAGCAAAAAGTGCATATATAAATAAACAACGGCTGATGCAATCGAACACCACAATGATGACTCGATTACACGAGAAGTAGAATGAGGAAGCACCCGATACCCAAAACAGTTGCTGTCCGTACACCCACATTGTCGATGGTGGTCTTGTCTCGAAGGGATACATCTTTTGTCAGAAATTGACTTTCCGTAGCAGGTTTAGGAGAACTTACGGAACAGGTTAGGATAATTAATGTAGCGGGTTGGGAGGAATAGGTTAGGGTTAGGAAAGGGTTAGCTAAAATGTACAAAAACAACTTTTGACGTCAATTCGACAAAAGCAGTATCCCATCTAGACATGATCGTCAATGGTTGGTTCCACCCCCCTGTATGGTCAAACGCTCCCTACGGTGACGTCTCTGAATTTGTGAATAAATACTCGAGCGCCACGACCGAAAGATCGTGAATACATGGCATGAACTGACTGAGGTGAAGTCGCAGGAGGACACGAGAAACTAGTTATTAAAAGCCACATAATTTAGCTAGCTACGACATTACTTTATTTTATCTGCCAAACGAAGAACGCTAACAATGATGAACGGACAGATGAACGGTTTTCATAACTCCCTTATTGATGAGGACTGCTTCCTATTCACCTCGGAGTCAGTAGGAGAAGGACACCCTGGTAAGAACTAACTAGATACAAATACACCCTATAATAATAAATACTTATGACTTGGCTTAGTACCTATTTATTTAGATATAGGTAACTAACGTTAGCTTGCGAGCACACACATGCAAATCGGTGGTGCTTAGCCTAGCTTGCTAGCTAGCTAACATGCTTAGCTAACTACCTGCAGATCAAACCACGCCATAAGCATCTTGCATAAAAGCCGCATGTGAGGCCCAACTGCATGGTTCTTGGTTTATTAACCAGCTAGCTACTTTGCTGAGCGTTGTTAACATGCCCTTTATTGGACAATAATATCCGTCCTAGGGATTGAGGCGCTTAAAAACGATGTGTATATACTCGAGTCGTCATAAGTATGCCTAATTCAATAGCGCGTTTGCCCGGGCCGAGCCATATAGATCTCGAAGATTCGGACTAGTTTGCGCGCGAGCTCTCGGGGTACGCTATCTATACTAGCGTTTTGTTGCTATGTAAGGATCTCTAAATATACTTTATTAAGTGTTCCATCCCTTGTCTCGACGGTTCGTAGTTTACCTTTAGATATCCCAACAAATAAGAGCGTTTTTTATTTTATTTATTTACACACGAACCCGCGGAAATGGTGCCGGGTTTAGCCCCATTGCACGGCTACGAGTACAAGGTGTTCCCCGCTTCAGCCTCTCCCACCATCACCATAATCCTGAGAGATGGTACAGCATGTGTACAACTAGAACTGCAGTCAATATCCAAACAGAAGAACACTTCAATTATTCCCATCAGTGTCATTTAAGTCATTTAGCAGACGCTCTGACTTAGTGAGTGCATACATTTTCATACTGGCCCCCCGTGGGAAACGAACCCACAACCCTGGCGTTGCAAGCGCCATGCTCTACCAACTGAGCTACAGGGGACTACACACGATTTACACGCTCTGTTCACGCAACCAACGTTGTACAAATGTCTGTAGGCTTGTGAACTAGAGGTGCCAACTGTGTTCTTCCCCATTTTTATATAGATAAGATTTGCGACCAGATCAGTGATGCAGTGCTTGACGCCCATCTCAAGCAGGATCCTGATGCCAAAGTTGCTTGTGGTAAGAAAAAGCACCTCCTTTGTATGATGCAATTTCTAGCTGCCCTGGAGTCAGCTGTGACCACAACAATGAAAGCACCTCATTCAACTCTTGATGCTGCATCTTCATGTGTAGTAGGCCTATATTATGGCACCAGTCCCCTGAGTTTTTGCCAGATGAGTATTGATTGATATGTGTCCTCTGAAAGGATATGGTTATAATGTACTCTTCCCCTTCCACCTTTATCAGAGACTGTTGCTAAGACTGGGATGATCCTGCTGGCAGGTGAGGTGACGTCGCGTGCTACAGTGGACTATCAGAAGGTTGTTCGCGACACCATCCGCCACATCGGATACGATGACTCCTCCAAAGGTTTTGACTATAAGACCTGCAACGTGCTGGTGGCCCTAGAGCAGCAATCTCCAGACATCGCCCAGGGTGTTCATATCGACCGCAATGAGGAGGACGTAGGGGCAGGGGACCAGGTATGTGTTGTGCAGAGGACCGCTGCAGTAGCAATGTTAGCTGTGCATTTATTTAACATTTACATTTTAGTCATTTAGCAGACGCTCTTATCCAGAGCGACTTACAGTTAGTGAGTGCATACATAGGTAATTTTTTAAAAATGTATACTGTTAAAATTGGAGCTTTCCTTTCTGATGTAACAGTTATACGTTTTCTATCCTCAGGGCCTGATGTTTGGGTATGCCACTGATGAGACTGAGGAGTGCATGCCCCTCACTATTATGCTCGCCCACAAGCTCAACGCTAAGATGGCTGAACTGCGTCGCAATGGCACCCTGCCCTGGCTCCGGCCTGACTCCAAGACCCAGGTAAGCAGCCAGTGTGTAATTGATAGGCGGTTTACATTAGGTTAACTTGAGGAAATGTCTGTAAAACTGGTTTGTCCTAGTTTATTTATCACACCATCAGATGAGTGCAATATTACTTTTCTTATTCAATCTTTCCAACCTGGTTGCGGCCAGCTGTAACTCCAGCATTGAACTAGTTTTAATCCATGCCTGCTGTTGTACAACCCTGCTGACGTTCTCTCTGTGTGTAGGTGACCGTTCAGTACCGCCAGGACCGTGGCGCCATGCTGCCAGTGCGTGTCCACACCATTGTGGTCTCTGTGCAGCATGATGAGGACATCTGCCTGGATGAGATGCGTGACGCTCTGAAGGAGAAGATTGTCAAGGCTGTCGTGCCCTGCATTTACCTGGATGACGACACCATCTATCACATGCAGCCCAGCGGACGCTTCGTCATTGGAGGCCCACAGGTGAGACTAAGGGGTGGAGGTAGGACTGGGCATCTAGGACCTGGGACTCTGAGCTTGAAAGGGGGGGGAAGCTAAAGTATATTTAATGGATGAGCTTGTTTAACTGATCACATCTTTTTACAATGATATTTGATTCCATATTTATTTTACTGCTGTTAGAAATATGTCTGGGTAAAGGAATGACCATGAACTATTCATCCTTTCCCTTGCAGGGTGACGCTGGCCTGACGGGCCGTAAGATAATTGTTGACACTTATGGCGGCTGGGGGGCCCATGGTGGAGGAGCCTTCTCAGGGAAGGACTACACTAAGGTGGACCGCTCTGCTGCCTACGCTGCCCGCTGGGTGGCCAAGTCTCTGGTGAAGGCGGAGCTGTGCAAGAGGGTCCTGGTTCAGGTGAGGGCACGGTGATATTGATACGCCTCATGCACATAAATCACAGGAGCAAAGGGGTGCCACAAGATTAAACTTAAAGTCTGCTGTATGTTTATTCTTCATGCATCTATGCTACATCAGGTTGCCTATGCCATCGGAGTGGCCCACCCCCTCTCAATCTCCATTTTCCACTATGGCACATCCCAGAAGAGTGAGAGGGAGCTGCTGGACATCGTCAAGAAGAACTTTGACCTTCGTCCTGGTGTCATTGTCAGGTAAAGTATATTCCTCTGACGCTGTGTGCCTCTATCCGAATCTCCCTCATGTTACTCACACTTCCGGTCTTTCGGTTCTGCCTAAACTGTCACAGCCAGTGTTCAGAGATGGCTCTAACCCTTTACTGAATGATTTGCAGTGTGATTACTGTCGTACCGTTTACTGCTCTGCTGCTTTCTGTTTGGCTTTGTGTCAATCAGGGCTTGTGATCAGTTTGCCAACCCTTGCTTTAAATGCCAGTACAGTATGTAATGTTAAAGCTTGGAGGGTTGAGGTCTGTTCTGCTAGATTGCATGTTTAATTACCCAGCATGAGGAAAGGTTTCCTGCTCCCATCCAATTGGAAGGTCATAGGGTTCTCAGACCTTGTTAAAGTTCAATGCCATTTATAAATGGGATCAGTGTGCTTTCCATCTCCAAGCTGCAGTCCCTACACTGCTCAAGGATGAGTTGATTGGCAGGGTAAGTGTCGACGCTTCACTCACCCCTCTTTTTACAAGCTGGCCTAATGAACCTTTCTGATCATGGTTTTCTTGCTGTGGCTCGACACTCCCTATTGGCTGATTTGAGCGTCATGGCTGTGAGTGTTGCTCTGAGGTCATTTTCTGTGACGGGCCTCTAAAATGAATCGATTGTGTATTCCAGGGAGCTGGAGCTGAAGAAGCCAATGTATCAGAGGACCGCTGCCTACGGCCACTTTGGCCGGGAATCCTTCCCATGGGAGGTGCCCAAAAAGCTCAAATACTAAACCTGTCAAGCTTTTTTCTCCCAGGCCTGTTGGTGTATACTACAGAGAAGCCTACATGGTCTCGGGGTGAAAGGCCCTTAAAAACCCCTTCCCTCTTAATGGCATATTAAAACCCGATCTACCCCTCAATGCACCCCCCAACCCCCCTTTCTAATTCTGCTCTGTCATCTGTACTGTCTTTTTGCTGTTAGTAGTATAAGCTCTAACATTCTCAAAATATTTCAGAAAAGTAATGTTGAGAGAATAAAAGGGTGTTAGCTAGCTACCCGATAATCACTGAAATGTGCACCCTGTGCTTCATTGTCCCCTTTGAGGAGGTCCTGAAGTACCCTGGTCTTCCATTGATGTCCCTCACACTACAACTCCTAGCCCCTGCCCAGCCTTAATAAGGAACTGTAAATACTGCAGTTTGGTTATCTGGGCTTAGCTGTCCTTATACTTAATCAGCTTGGAAATGTTTTGCTACCGTTAAGTCTAATGACTTACCAAGGCTACACATTTATATAATGTTCATTTACTGGTGCTACGGATGTAAGGGACACCGCTCGACGCAAACAGTTTAGGGAAGCCGTATTTGTATTTATTAGGGATCCCCAGCAGCTGCTCTTCCTGGGGTCCCCCCCCCAATCTTTCCTTTTAGTGTAGACTTTTCTTTGTTAGTCTGGTATTGAGGCACCCCTCATCCTTCTCCCTCCCTTTTTCAAGCTTTCTCTTCCCTTATCCTTATGGAGGATATAAAAAGGGCACGATTTTAAGGGTCAGTGGTTGCTGTTTTTCAAAAATGCTATGCATTGCATGCTGAGTAACAAACACAAATCTTTATTGTCAAGTTCTTGAATAAGCGCAGTAAAGTCTCGGATGCCCCTGCAGATGTCTGTGCTGTTTTCTGACGTAATACAGAAAAGTCAGAAGCTGCTATGTCACTGCGAAGGTCTGTAGGGATGTTTGATTTTATACTTGATTGTTTAAAATATCTCATTGGATTGTCTTATTAATACTGATGTTTCAATTTTAAACAAACCCTTCAAAAGGTAGTGTAATTTCCTTCTGTTTTTTTATTTATATTTTATAAAAAATTGTTTAAGGTCAAGGCAAGCCTTCCTTGGGTATTGGTGGCAGGTGTAGCTACAAAGAAACCATCATTTTTATCCTGAAGAAGAGCAGTCTTTGCCACAATGCATAGCTCTTACTACTAGCAAACAATATAAAACAAACCATTTTGAGTATTTATTTGTTCTCTGAAACTTGGCGTGGCTACAGAAGCCAATGGATTCAGAAGGCAGCTTAAAAACAAGGTTTTAATCACATTTTGACTTGACTGAATGCCGTAACTAAGTTACATTTTCAGTGTTTCTCTCGTGGTTCCAAAGTGTCATACAGAAAAGCTTTGGTCTGCTTCCACAGGGAACTGTCACTGGCTGATGTGATGAGTATGTTGCTATTTTGACCCGCAGATTATTTTGGGTGAGAATTGTATTAACCATACAAGTCTACTGTTCTCCTAACTCCCCCACCTTATCCTTACATTAAGAGATGGCAAAGTTTGGCTGGTGTTGTACAGAGAAACCAGCCTTGTTTACAAGCTGTCTCTTGTTTGTATGGGTAGGGTTTCCCTTGCCACTTTGGTTTTGTTTCCTGTTACCGCTCGGAGCCTAGTCTGCCGGCTACTGTGAGTAAAAGTGCCTTTTCTATTTCCTCCCCCCAATCCCTGTACTGAACCCCTTTCTCCCCTCCTGTTCTCTATCAACATGCGTCTGACATCCTGAGGAACAGGTAGCTTGTCTCAATTCTGTCTTCAGAGGTTGGATACTGATTCCTCATGTCAAAGATCTGAAATAAATGGCTACTTTCCTTCATGAAGCATGTTTCTGGTGTCTCATTCATTGTCAGTTTTGGGTTTTTACTGTAGTATTTGAAAAGGAAATTTGCATTCATTAAATGTCACATTATTGTTTGACCAGTGGTTCCACTAAAAGTCATAAGTAGCTAATGGTATTATTAGACGGGTCGGTCGTGGTGAATATAAATGTAAGTAAAACATTTTTAATTTGCCGTAATCCCATGTGTTTCTGGGTATTTAAGCCATGGAGAACACCTGTTCCATAACTGATTATGCAGCACAGAGCTGTTAACCTGAAATGCCCTCTGGACACTACTGCTCTTTTATGTAATGGTAGTATCTTGCCTTAAGGTGATCCCAACCAAGACCCAAGTCCCCGACACTTTGTTATGGTGGCTGTGCCAGGGTGTCGTTTCCCCAACAGTGACTCGTTAGGATGACTATTTAGTCAACAAGCCAGAGTAAATATTATGGTGAGAAATTACACATCCTGTATAGTGGTTTTAGTGTACCAGCTTGACTTAACACTTGTATGTGTGTAATGGACACTGTTGGTGATTTTACATACTAAACTTAAAATATGACACACCCAATGCTTTTCTCCATGAGTATCTTTCATACTTAGACAAATTGATTAATCCAGGATCAAGTTGAAGGGCAAACAATCTTCTGGATAAGAGCTTTTCTTGCGCTCTTTAGTTAAGAATTTCGACCCTTGGGTACATCCCAGTGGGTAGGCTGCAGAAAGGAATTCGCCCACACCCTCTGGTGTTCGTAAACCAATCACCTCACAGAATGCATACACACCTCCTTGGCCAACTGACAACATAAATAATTCCTTCAGGCAGGGTGTACAGTAAGGTTCCCATGAAATCATTATTTGTTTTACCTACAGGTGTGTAGCAACTGATAATGTAATCGCTGCTAATAATCTAAACTTTTGCATTTATGTAATAAATACTGATGTAATAAATATGCAGAATGTGTAATGTAAAATGTTTGTGCATAATGTAAATTAAATGATTATGCGTTGATTACATTAAGTGGTAAAACATTTTTAATTTGTGTAATAACTTAAGCCAATAATGTAATAACCTCAAATCACACTTTCATGGCATGCCTATTAAGTGTCACACTTGTATTTGCATCCATTGCCACAACTGGGGTTGCAAAGGGAGGGTATATTACTGGAAACTTTCTAAGTTTACCAGTAAACTACCAGAATTTTGGTTTCTTTCAAAAATTGTATGTACTCTTATCACAAGACATCTAGTGTCCCTTTAGGTTATTTCAGATTTTAACAGGCATCTGAAATTATCTCTGGCCTACTGTGTGACCTTATCACATGTAAAATAGACTGAGTATACAAAACAAGAACACCTCTTTCCATGACTGACTGACCAGGTGAAAGCTATGATTTCGATGTTAAATCCACTTCAATCAGTGTAGATGAACAGGAGGAGATGTGTTAAAGAAGGATTTTTAAGCCTTGAGACATGGATTGTGTATGTGTGCCATTGAGGGTGAATGGGCAAGACAAAATAATTAGGTGCCTCTGAACGGGGTATGGTAGAAGGTGCCAGGCTCACCGGTTTGAGTGTGTCAAGAACTGTAACGCTGCTGAGGTTTTCACGCTCAACAGTTTCTCGTGTGTATCGAGAATGGTCCACCACCCAAATGACATCCAGCCAACTTGACCCAACAGAGTCGACATGGGCCAGCATCCCTGTGGAAAGCTTTTGACACCTTGTAGAGTCTGCCCTGACAAATTGAGGCTGTTGTGAGGGCAAAAGGGGGTGCAACTCAATATTAGGAAGGTGCTCCTAATGTTTGGTATACTCAGTGTAAAAAAGAAAAAAAACTTCCACTGACAAAGCTGTAAAACGTTATCCTAAATATAAACCATCAACTTAGTGAATACCATTGGTGTTTAATGTGAGGGTTTCAGCATGAAATGTGTAATTTTTTTACACACTTATTTATTGTATTATGTCAGTATGTATTTTTTTATGTTTATGCGTCAAATTGCTGGCAGTTGTGAAAAAACGTATGCACTTCCGTTCTGACAGAGTGGAGGCTTATGTCAACCCCCCTCAGGTGGAACCATTCTAGCCAATGAGAGGGCAGATACAGTTTGCGTGTGAACAACAGGCACAACTCCGATCTAAAAATGAGGGGTGTTGAATATTCTATGAGGGGTGATCTATGGCGAAGGTATTTCACATTCATCGACCTCGTGAATATGCATAGCCCGTCTTGAATTTCAACAGGACAACTCCAATATAAAGTGTTTTTTCTCAAAGTTGCCGGGATGTCATGTGAATCATACTTACTGTATATCAGTACATACGTTACAACCTAAGCATTATGAAACCTCCAGGGGACCATGAAACAACGTCCCATGAACATCCTAAAAACTTTCTCGGGAACTAGACCTAACCTCCAGGGAACCATGACACAATGTCCCAAGAACATCTTAAACGTCCTCGGGGATGTCCCCGGGACAAACCGGAATCTAGACAAAAACCTCCAGGGAACCATGACACAACGTCCTAACCACTTTAGGCAACCATTTCGTGATGTTCTGGGGAAGTCCTAAAGACTCATTTTTGTTTTCAGGGTTATATCTATAAAAAACATTGCATATCAGCTGAGATTTTAGTAGTAGTTTGCTAAAAGATTTGATCATGCACAAACACACACACACACACACACACTCTCTCTCTCTCTCATTTACACAGACAGACAGACTCACTCACTCACTGACTGACTCACTGATTAACTGACTGACTGGGGTTGTGGGTGTGTATTGGGGGGTCAATTGTGTAATTTGAAGGTCTTGATATTACTGCTAAAGTCAGGTTTAGAGCTAGGATTCAGGAATGTGGTTTGGTGTGTAGTCAGCTAATAGTGAAACATTACATAAAAAAAGAGAGTGAATATGAAATTATTGGTTAAAGTTCTTACACTATTCATGGCTTTTTTTACCCACTTCATAATGTAATAATCAACACAATGTCATAATTATTACATTATGCGCAAAAACGTTATTACGTTCAGCATTTGTATTACATTATTGGCAATGTATTACATTATCAGCATTTATTACATTATAAATGCATAAGTTATTAAATTATGAGCAGCTATTACATTTTTTGCA